CTGACATCAGGTGCGTCCATCTGCTTAAAACAAAATCCTTTACCTATTACACATGCGAGGATATTTCTAGCATAGAACTTATCTGTTGTCCTCCGTCGCTTGAAGATAAACGCCACCCCGTTTGAAAAGTAAACATCGATTATGCTTTTACTTACCCTAACGCCCTGTGCAAAAGCTCCAGTTTAGGACAATATTTTCAGCGAAGTCTATTGTCGATGACTTCTGATTTTTTTTTTCCGATGAAACTGATAGGATATTCGATAAATTGTCATAAATGAATCGACATTAACGTGTTAGGTACGTTAAAGGGAGAAATGTTTGTTTTATACGAAATGAAAAATACCGGCTTGGTTAAGATAAAAAAAAAAAACACACACACGATAGGTTGATCAATAATCCATTTAGAATTTTACGAAGGGATATTGTTGTTTCATAATCAAGAATGTGTTCAATTTTTTTTAGCTGGGAAGTTATCCCTGGATTGCTTGGCCTGATAGTCTTATTTAACCTGATTTTTTTTTTTCTGTTACGTATTTTCGTCCAGCTTTATACTGATTACCCATTGCAGTTGTGTCGCCTGATGAGGAGTCTCTTTGACGTGAAATGTCAGGGTTTAGCATTATTGTGGATAACCAGGAGGAGGAGGAGAAAGAGAAAGTAGAAGAAGAAGAAGAAGAGGTGGTGGAGGTGGAGAAGAAGAAGAAAGAGGAGGAGGAGGAGAAGGAGAAAGTAGAAGAAAAAGAAGAAGAAGAAAGAGGAGGAGAAGGAGAAGGAGGAGGTATACATGCATACCTGCAAACACTGACACATACACATATATATTTGTGCGTGCATGTCTGTGTGTGTGCACGTGTGTGTGTGTGTGTGTGTGTATGTATGTGGGTGTGCGTGTACGTGTGTGTGTGTCTGGAAGCGTATGTGCCCCTAATGACCCTCCCCCAGCAGGCCACGGCCACGGCAAACACACCCTTATCGACCTACCAACTTAATCAGGCGCACTCACCTGCTCTAAAGATGTGAGTCATAAAGGCACGTTCTCTCATGCAAAACTCACCCTTATTGGCCCTGTCTGTAGGGATGTTCTGCGCCCTGAGTCTGTGGTCGATGATGTACATCATTTCACCGCCGAGGTTAAGGAACTGGAAGGGCAGAGCGCGAAGGGTCATCTTGCCGGGTGATCTGTGACCTTTGACCTCTGACCTCGTGACCTTGTACTGGATTCCTTGAGGTTGACCTGAAGATCTCTGGCGAACTGATATCTTAAGGAGACCGGCAGGATATAAATTTTTATTCTTATTGTATGTTTTTATATAGTGATGATAGGGGTATCATAATGATGAAGGTAATTATAATAATGATGATAATATTAATGGTATTACTAAAAACAATAATGAAAATTGTTATTACTATCATTATTATCATTATTATTATTATTATTATCATTATTGTTACCATTATTACTATTATAATTTTTATTATCAGCATTATAATTTATAATATAATTATCGTTATTATTACTATTATTAGCATCATCGTCCTCACTCTCTCCGTCATCATCATCGTCAATCACATCCTCGTTATTAAATTTATCATTATAATCATTCTACTGATTATCATTATTACTTTTATATTTTTTATTGTAATTTTGCCCTTTTCTATTTATTCGTAAAATATTTTCGGTAATTATAATACATATATATGTATATATATATTTTTTTCTCTCTCTCTTTCTCTCTCTCTCTCTCTCTCTCTCTCTCTCTCTCTCTCTCTCTATATATATATATATATATATATATATATATATATATATATATATATGTCTGTCTCTCTCTCTCTCTCTCTCTCTCTCTCTCTCTCTCTCTCTCTCTCTCTCTCTCTCTCTCTCTCTCTCTCTCTCTCTCTCTCTCTCTCTCTTTCTCTCCCTCTCTCCCTCTCTCCCTCTCCCTCTCTTCCTCTCTTCCTCTCTTCCCCTCTCTCTCTCTCTCTCTCTCTCTCTCTCTCTCTCTCTCTCTCTCTCTCTCTCTCTCTCTCTCTCTCTCTCTCTCTCTCTCTCCCTCTCTTTTTCACAGTTCTTATATCAACTCTACGGCACCCTCATACCGCATTTCAATAACTACCTACTCTGACGTAAGACAGGACAGGAACGGATATATATAGGCAAACGGATATTGAATATTCTATCCGGTTTCAACATGTTATGTCCGGTTACAACAAGCTAGGACTGCAAATATGAATACAAAACCATTATTTAAACTATACTAAATTGCTGTCTGTTCAGAGATATTTAATACGATTTCAGATACTCAAAATATATATACATAGTGCACATACAGTACTAACTCACCTAAGCACACAAATACACACGCATGCACGCACGCAAGCACCTACAAATCTACACACACACTCACTCACTCACTCACTCACTCACTCACTCACTCACTCACTCACTCACTCACTCACACACACACACACACACACACACACACACACACACACACAC